CACTTATCGGTACAATTATACCGCAGTATTTTACACCGATAAAATCACTATTCATCATTTTTTCTGAAACTTGCCTATCCACTTGATTTCTCGTCCTGAATCCATTTTCGGCATTATTTTTACCATTTGAGACCCTCTACTCAATTTTTCGTGCTTAGGGTTTACGTGTTTGGTAAATTACCATTTTGCTTTTTTCACGTATTTTGGCCCTAATTTCAGGATTTTCACTAATCCTACCCCTTTAATCAACATTATCACATATAATTAAACGTTTAGAAATACGAGGTGTTATATAACCAAAGACTCCTGAGAATGAAGAATGCATGAGAGGGATACCTTATGGATGAACAATAGGTAGTCTCATGCATACCATGTTGAGTGTTAAACCAGACATTTACCACATTGTGGGAGTAATGAGACGGTACTATTCTGAACCTAGAAGAACACTAGATTATTGTTAAGCATATACTCAAGTATCTTTGGAGAACGAGAGATTATATGCTGATATATTCTAGTGGGTGTCTTGAAAAGCTGAGTTTTCACAAATTCAGTTATTTCAAGTGGATATTGACTCAAGAAATCAACCCTGAGCTATGAGTTTTTCACTAAACTCAGATAACATTAGAGGTGGATCTTGCAAACCCAGTTACTAAGAGTTTTCCTGAACTTGTGTTCGAAAGACATGTTATTTCTTTGGGTCTTAGGAAGATCCCATACTTGCATTAAGCGAGTGAGAGATATTGGGTTCATTGTGCTCTTGGAGTAAGACAATGAAACAATATAATCATTTTTTGAATTTTACAAATGAGGTATTATTTATTTATATTGCGCACTATTTACAAACATCAAGGTCTGAATCAATTGTGGAGTATATGATCATATGGATACGTTCATGGAGGACATGATCATAGGTTCTCACAATTGAATGTAACACCCCGTGTATACCCGGTTTGTTAACATGCCATCGTATTAAGCCACACTTAATTAAAAATGCGGAATATCTTTTTATTTTCAATTATGACGTCATTATCATTACCGAGTTGAATTACTTAATTCATTTCCAAAACATTGCCTGTATGTAAATGCAAAAGACAGATATCTATACTGAATAACCTCATATCATTAACTGTGTTTCTAGTCACGGCACTACGACACGTAAGCCAGACAACCCTGATAGTTTATACAACTCAAATCTAAACAACGATACATAATCAAATGTGGCATGGACAATCCCCATGCTCACCAAATAAGGCAACAAGGCCTAACCGAGTCTCAACAATCAGAGGAATAATAAAGCTAATAACATAATAGCAACAGGCATAATCCAGCATACAATATAATCAGCATAACAACATATAAATAAGCTAAGCTTCGGCCTCCTGTCGCTAGAGGTCTCAACCCCCGCAATACCTAAACTTGAAATATGTACCCCAAAAGTGGGGTGAGATCTATAAACAGAAATCTCAGTAAGACAAGGGGTCCTCAAGGATCTTCCACCCCAAGCTCACTTACATGTGCAATATAAGTTCTAAAAGCAGTAATTCAATATCAGTTCCAAAACCAGTGCAATGCAGCAGATAATCATGTCATGTGTGTTATAACTAATCTATTAGCCAAAGAAATGCAGGAATACGTCTATTACCCACACTAGTGCAAGACGCCACTTGCACCCACCCACAGTGTCACCGTCTTGTATGACGCCACATACTCAGGCTTACCGTCTAAGTGGAACAACACATACATATTAAAAGCAATTGCACATAAAGCTCAACAACATTTTCAATTATCAAAGCATGTAAACACATCATGCATATAAACCATTCTCCCATGGGGTATGGTGGAACCACACAATGGCTAAACCGAGGACACAAAAGCTTACCTTGCAAGCTAGCTATCTAAGCCAAGAGTCCACACAAGCTCAAACCCCAAACATAGCAGAATCACAATCTGTTTTGGACCAGCAATCATATCAACAACCATAGCTCATAAGCATATAACATAAAGACATGCTTCTCTTTTACGTTTCATGTCTTTAGGCTCCTCACAAAGCCACAAGCCCTTAATCACTTAGATACAGACTTAGATTAATTATAACAGAAGTCCACACTGACTAATCATGAGTCCACTAACCCAAAATAGCATTTTGTATGAACAGTACAGACACTGTCTCGAAATTCCCAGAATATCCAGATATTTGTTGGGGCCATATCCGGATATCATTATCCGGATATCCATATTCGAATATCTACAAAGCCCATATCCGAATACCAATATCCGGATATCATATCTGGATATCATATCCGGATATTTCGCGACAGAATGCAGTTTTTGCATTTCGCGAGATATCACTTCCAAGGTTCCATTTTTAACACTTCTAAACGTTAAAGCATGCATCATTAAACCCTTTTAAGTTCATATACAAGTTGGTTACTTTTTATCTCATCAAACATGTCAAGACTCAAGCTTTAACAATAAAACTCATGATCAAAGGTTGGTGACACTTACCCAAGCTCAAAACAGAACAAGGAGGTGCTCTTGGAGCTCTCCCTTCAACACCAAAGGTTCTGACTTGCAAGTGTACGAAAATGGCACACCATAAAGGTTCCTTCTCACCAAAAATGGCTTCTTGGACCAACACCAACAAGACACAAGCTATCAAACCACCCCAAACAATGAAGCCAGCCCACAACTCACTTCACACGGCCACCACAACCCAGAAATAGAGCTCACCTCACACTCACCAAGATAGTTCCCACTCACCCAAGGTGTTTTAGTGAAGAAACAAGAGGAAAATGTGACAACTTGGTTGAGTTTCAAGGGGAAATAGAGGGTGGCAGCTTGAAGAGCCCAAGTATCAGAAATGGAGGCACGTAGAGTTGTATTTTCTGACCTAGATGTGTGTGCCAAGGCCTTATATAGGCCACTTAAGTCTTAATCGTACTGTATTAGCGCTAAATGCTACGCTTAACATTTTAATCCCAAACTTAGGATTCTGAACCTACTCATTTTTCTAAGATTTGTCATATTTTTATTTTATTTTTTTCAACACCTTTCTGGCACGCGCTTTTCCATAGCCAGTATCAGTTCTAGCACCAGTTCTCATTATTTCGACTTGAAACTTGAAAGCACAGTCCTACATATTATTTTAAGAATATTCATGCACTTATTATAATTTTTCGGGATACTTCATCGGTACGCATTTATACCGAGTAGCAGAACCGGTATCTGCACTTTTCGTCAGAAAAGCGACTTTCAACATTATTATTCACTTACCCTATTTATTTAGGCCTTATCATAATTATTAGGGTCAATTATGGAATTGTTTTCCTAATTTCTCATAATTACTTAATTAACTTCCTAATTTAACGGTGCGGGTTCTTATAATGAATAGATTCACAGCTGTTAAATAAAGTTGGGTACTATATTTAGGCTGCAATATTTTATGAAATGGTTTTTTCTGAATCATTGTAAAATATTGGTGTGAAATAACCTTCACATTGAAAGGATCAAAGAGAGATTTGATTAAGGTTGTTTTTCTGTCATAAGGTATCAAATCTCCAATTAACAATAGTTATGTAATTGCTCTTAATCCTGAGTTTATTATATATAGGTAATCAAACAGTTTTCATTCTTTGATTTACCAACGGGTGAGGTTCGATCTATTGACGACCAAAAACTCGGTATTTTGGGAGTAAGATTATTTGATTATCTGTATTTATGAGATAAACAATATGGAATTCATAGGATATGTCCCCTTGATATGTTTTGGTACTTGGATATTGAAGACACTGGCCAGTGCATGTGATCCATTAGACAAACTATCATAGTCAAGGGAATACATAATTGATTGAGTTACAGAAAACTTGTCAATCAATTATAGACATTCTACAAAGGGGTGATACATATTCGTGTTATAAGTGTTATTAATCTTGGAGTTCAAGTTCGGGCTTTTAGCGGAGTATCACTGAATTAGATAATCATTTCTTGATTATCAAGAGCCTGGATTAATAATAGATGGTAGATCCCCAAGCTAGCTCAAGATAAGGGATAAGGCAATTTCAGTTGATGACGACTAGTGAGATACATGGACTTGGGCTTTGGGCTCAAGTTTGTACTCAAGAGCAAGTGGGAGATTGTTGGATTTTGCTCTTTCACTAAAGCCCAATAGGGCCTAGTGTGTAAGAAGAGCCCAAGAAACCTAAAGACCATTCGGCTAAGGGTTAGGGTTTCTTGGAACCCATATATATTTTACACTTATAGTCATCAGCTTCTCTAGTCTTCATTTAGCAGTTGCAGAGGCTGAAATAATGTCATCTTCCTGAAAGTGAGAGAGTGCCTACACATTTCCCATTTTTCCTTGAGACATAGTCTGGAAAATCTGCCATAGTCCAGCTTCAAGGTGGTTGTCCGTACTGCGGCGCTGAGGAGATCAGTTCGTGAGTTCCTGTTGGATGCAAAGGGCTCTAGTTTATGGAGCATCATCTCAGATCTGCGCTACAAGAGGTAATTGTAAATAGTGATGATCATATACATCCAAACCGCAATGGTCTAATCACTTCCGCATGATACACTTGCTCCTACATATTTGAGATCTTGCATATAACATTGATATGTTGAAATAAGACATGACATGATTCATTAATCTGGTTCATGATGATAGGCAATAAGCTAGACCACATAATATTTGTGTCAACTATTCTTATACTTTTGCACTACTTGTGTTAGATTTGAATCCACCATCCCCACAAGATAAAAATTAAAAATAAAAACAAAAGTTTGAAACAAATGGTTGAAATTAAAATCACGAGTACCGGATACAAAGTGACTCTGAAAGGCTCTTATTATTATCCACTTATTACACCGTCCGCACCCTAAGGGTGAAACATCAACACATAGATAACAGTAATTGTACATGTGATAGCTATAACAACACATGCACAAAAAAGAACCCCACAAGCAAAAACTACCTACGCCAACTTTCCCAACATCTCTGACTCAATTTAGAACTTCTCAACCAATTCCACAACCTCGTCCACCACAGATTTTCTTCTACTATTTGGAGCAAAACACGTCTTGCGAACTTCCCCTTGATTCCCAGTCAACACATCCAACTGGCTCACTTTAACAAAAGCATTTGCAAATTTGTCAAAAAATTGTTTCTGATCAGAAGCAAAGAGGTTCACAATCTCCTTAGTTTTTGGATGAGTGGCAATATCTTGGTCAGAAGTGAACACACCCTGGCGGTTCAAAAGGTTGATATAGTACATGTTATCAAACTTGTGTGGAGTTCTAATGTCCAAATCAACAGTGTTGGGTGATTCATCATTTGGGCATGTGGCTTGGAGTTTTTTCTTCAAATCTGGGTCAATGGGAGGGTTTGATTCTGTGGTCCTATTGAATAATGAACCACAATGGGCTCGACCATAAGTGTGTGCACCTGAGAGTGCTACTACATCCGTGGCATCGAATTTTTTAGCTCCAAAAACACCAAGCAATTCATCGGTTCGTAAAAATGGTGGTGGAAGTTCGATTGGTGCGGTTGCGTTGAATGTTAGGCTGTCTTTTCTTCCCAATGGCACATCAAAATCGGGTCCTCCTAACTGCATAAATTCCAAGCAAAAATTGAAATTGATCAAAAGTGAAAGACCAATAATGAGTGTTCTTGTCAATGACATGTGCAATAGTGCTCGAAGAAATTATGATTAGAGTTAAAATTGTTTCTATTCAAAAATTTAAATTTTTTTAATGATGCATATATCATTGCATGATTAAAAAATAATACTAATACAAAAAATATATTATACATGGAAATTAAACTCAAAGTAAAAAGTATTTTACATACTCCACAATATAAAAGTAAAAGAGTGTATTACTCTCTACTCCAATTTGAGTAGGACGTTGAAATAAGAATATTTATAGGTGTGTTTTAAAAGGATTGACATCTCCTCTTTTTTTAAAAAAAAAAAAAGTAAATAAAAGAATATTTTATTATGAGAGAGAAAGATACAAATATTTATGTCCAAAATCGATATATAGACTTCGCTCAATATAAATAATGGTGGATCCCTTAATAATAAACTTTATATATTTTTCTCTTTAAAACAATATATTACTCTCTCTTACCATCTCTAAGTAATATTAAAAAAAAATTAATAAAAATTATTAGGAATAAGTTAGTAGTTAGGAGCTTGAATAGTTTACATAAATTATAAGTTTGAATCTCGATACCAATATTTGAGAAAAAAAATTAAAAAGTAATAAATTTGTACATTGAAAAAAATAAATAGAGAAAGTATTAAAATGTAGTGATCAAAGCGATGTGATTACTTGGCGAACAGCTTCGCGCGCTGCCATAACGAGGATGTCAGCGCACGTGACAACCCTTGGACACTGTTTGCGGACAAGAGCCCTTAGGTTTTCAATGGTTTGAAGAGCCTCTTCCCTTAATCCTGCGTTGGCAAAGTGTTCCTTTTCATCATCTTCTCCAACCCCATTCAACAATATAGACCCATCGCATCCCTGTTTAATTTGAATTCAAATTAGTCATGAATAGAACAAGTTTATTAGCAAATCACCCAGAGAAATAAAAAAACTCAACCTTTATGAGATGGTTTGATGTTGAATTAATTAAAAAAAATTGCAATCACTATTGGTTCAAGTGATAAAAATCATGTATTTCTTTAATCACAAACCTCGAGTTTGAATCTTCAAAATAGAATAATTAAATAGTATTGAAAGAACCACATCTATATCGTCCTGACCATATTTGAATTGAACTAGTTTAATTTGTAATAAATTAGAAGAAAAATAAAAGAGACAAAAATAAAAAATAAAAAATATTTGCATTTATAGCTTATATTTGTTGGGCATGATTCCTACCTTACATTTTGTCAATAACTACTCATATACTACTTTTAATTTTGTGTGTGATGGTTCTGGTCCTATAACAATATTTTCTCTCCCATGCATGGCTTATATTTTCTCTACTTTTATAAGATTTTGGAACCTTTATTGAAAATAAAAAAGATGGAAGTTAGGGATTGAGATAAAGTGTTACCTGAGGAAAGCAATCATGGAAGAAGATTCGAAGTATGCCAGGAGCTTGGCCAATGTCCTTCTCGAAGACATCCTCAAGATGCTTCCTCACAATCCTTTCAAGCCTAGGACATGACAACCAATAGAAATCCCATGCAAGTCCCTTCACAATGGGAGGTCTTGCTACTCTCTCAGAGAAGGAGACATTGATTTGAGAGGCCAATAGAAAAGAAGAAATCAAGAGCAAAGAGTACAAAGAAGGAGTTCTACTTGCAGTAACCCTAGCCATGTTTGCTTTGCTTAAGAGTGACTTGAGATAAGTACAACTTGCACACTTATTTATAGATTGATTGGGGGGGCTACTGTGGTTGCTTCCCACTTGTCTTTTGCATAATAAATTAAAATGTGGCACATGCGTTTTGAGATTTGGAACTTGGATAAGATTTCAGGATAAAGTAAAATTTATAAAATAATAATGATAAATTATTGTACAATTAAGTACGTTGGATTTATTAAAAAGGAAAGAAAAATAATATAGACAACACAAAGAGACCAAACAGAAGGCTAATGGGAAGTAAAATACAGCAAGGAACAGATAAAATAATAGTTATGCCTAACAGTAGTTGTTTGATAATAAGTTATATAAAAGGTAATTAAGCATTTCAATATCAGTGATTGAACACACGAGGCTTCAAATCTCAAAACTTACATTAATTAATATCTAATTGATGGAGTAGAATATACTTATAGATTAAAGTGAAATTATATGTATAGCAATGCATTGCTACCTTAATAATTAGTGACCAATATTTGTTCATGTGTTTTATTTAATTAAAAGGGAAATGTTATATTTATAAATTTTTTATTTACAAATTTTTACAAACTATATTATATATAAGTAAATGTACTCCCCGAAATATATAATATAGTTTGTAAGAGTTTATAAATATAACTCTCCCCTACTTAAAACATAAAGAAAACTTATATTTCTAGTACATGAGATACATGGATAGTATTAACTATTAATTGTTAACGCCTTGAATGTACCCAGAAAAAAGAAAAAGAAAGAGGAGAATCCTTATGTGTGTGTATAGTGCGCGTGTATGAAAGATATTTTCAAGAGAAATAATGTATTTGACCTCATTTATTATTTTATCATTTTTCGAATATTTTTAATGCAATATAGTGAATGTCATGGCTTTTAAAATATATATATATATATATATATATATATATATATATATATATATATATTAGGGTATTCACACATACATTATTATAAAAATATTGTAGACTCTAAACCAATTAGAGTCATATTAATAATTTTTTTCGTAGCATATTAAACCTAAGTAAGTTATTTATTATCATACGAATCTATGAAGCACCGACACTTCAAAAATCCTGATGTGTGGTGTCCGACACTCCGACATTTCCCAACACTCTAATACTTGTTGCCTATGATGCACGGACAATGACACGGGACACGACACGCCGACACGTTAATTCTAAAAAATGGCATATTTCGACACGTTGGGACACGTTTTGATATTAAATAATGTTTTTTAATATATATATAATATAATTTATATTTAATAGTTATAACAGTCCATAATAAGTCATATAACCGATCAAATATTCAAATTTCATAATATAAATATAAACAAAAATAATTTTTCGTACCTTGTTAACTTTTCATGTCAAATTTCATAACAGAAAAAAATTAATTTATAAATGATTTTTTTTATTTATAGTTAATAAAATAAAATTAAAACAAAAAAAAAACGTGTCCGAGCATTAACCATGTGTCCGAAAAAGTTGACTGTATGTCGAAAAAATGTGTCGGAGAGTCGACCACGTGTCCCAAAATGTTAACCGCGTGTCCGAGCGTGTCCGTGTCCGACACGCTATTTTTTTTAAAAAAAGACGTCTCCGGGTTTGCTAGCTTGTTGCAAAGACTAAAAAAAGTTCAAAGATTACGTTGCGTTGCATTTTGAGTTCCAACTATTAGATTCGTTAGATTACGATTACGATTTTATTGAGTTTAATATAAACATTTGAGATATCTTATGTTTCTTTGCAAAATTGATGAATATTATAAGTTTAGCTTTATTTTTTTTAAATTATTGAATACTAAATATAATATACACTACACAAATTAAAAATATTATATAATATCAAAACGTGTTCCAACGTGTCAAAATTTAACATTTTTTAAAATTAAAGTGTCGCAGTGTCATATCGTGTCGTATTCCGTATCTCGTGTTGGTGTCCGTACAACTTAGATATGAATCATCTTTTGATTTATAAGGTTTTCGACTTATCTAATCAGTGGAAATTAATTTTTTAAGCCATAGTACATTAATTATATTCGAACTTATCTAATTAATAGATTAACAAATTAACAAACAAACTCTCTGTGATGTGATATTATGATAAGCAATATTAATCAAAACTCACAATCATTGAAGCAATATGAACTTTTTTGAAAGTACCACATGTGTATCATGATTAATCTTTTTTTTTTTTTTTTTTACATTGCCAGGAGGTATTTCCATTCAACCTTCTCCGGGCACCATGCCCTCGGGGTACGGCCCGTTTGGGCTAGCCCCTCATTGTAACAGTTGGTGCACTAAGCTTCGCAACCGGAGAAAGGACGAGACTAATACCCCAACCGAAATTTTTTTGGCTTATCCTCTGGCCCCCAAAATTTTTTCAAGAAACTGCTTGAGGCAGGGTTTGATCCCTGTACCAAGCAATCCCTTGGAAGCTCAGCTGTCAACTGAGCTACCCTTAGGGGTTATCATGATTAATCTTTATCATTTAGGAGAGATGTACATCAAAGATAATAAAAGAAAAAAATAGCAATTTATTGCATCACTGCATAATTTAGAGGAAATCCATCAGTAACCTAGTAAATTGCTTCAATAGTTAAGACATTGCCTATTTATTTTTTATTTTTAAAAAAAATATATTTAATTCAATTATTATGTACTTTTTACCCGACTGTGTATATAGGAATATGCTTTCGAGTTTCGATTGTCCGAGTTTCGCTTTTTATTTGGTTTCTTTCGAGATCTCTGAGATGTCTGTTATGAATTATGATTTATTGCATTAAATAAAGGGGGAAAGACCATGTGGGGAACACATCTCACTAAGATTGCACTTATTCTATTGTTATTTGGGTACACAAAAGTTGAAATCCTAGCCTTAAAAAAGTCTTATGTACAGAAGTACACACACTTTAATGTACAATATTACGCATTTAAAAATTTCTTCAATACAAAACAAATGCTTGGCACCCAGAATTTGACATATTATTAGTGGCCCATGCTTCTCAGAACGTGCAAGAACACATTATTCAAAATTTCAAAATGTGGTGATTCCAAAAAAAAAAAAAATTCAAAATGTCGTAATATTTTATTCATCCTCGTGAAACAGATGGAAATTTTATTAAATCTAACAAAAGATTTAGGTCATCGAGATGGGCGACATAAATCTTGGTAATATTATAATTTTCTTTTAACTATTTTTCTCATTAAAGCTATGGAAAAATTTAGAAAAAGTTACAATGCACACCACATTTAAATCGTATAATATGTTTTTAGACCACGGATTGATTAATGTGATTGGTACCTTCTAACCCTTTTGGGATATATCTACCAATTTATTAATTATCTGATTAGTCTGATTCATGTATACACTCAGATTCATCAAAGGAGTTGCTCTTCTAAGACTATTTTCTTCATTCTCGGTTTGAACTCTATCTCTTTTTGTAAAGAACCAATTCAACCTAAAAGCTTAAATTATTAAGAAAGTTTTTTTAATAATTTATGTTATTCTCTAACATACCCTCTCACATACGTGATCACTTGGCTTGAAGGATGAATAATGTACAAGCTCACCTACCTATACTGAAAAATATCACAAGACTTAATTAATTAAAGAGAAAAATGTTTATCCTTTTAAATGACACAACTTATATCATTTTATTCTCACAAAGAGGTAGGACCCATATCTTTATATTTTTTTGTCAACTCTCTCTCCTCCTTTATCTATCTCTTTCTCTCACTTAAAATGACACAACTTTACCTCCTTTAAAATGATACACATTTTTCCCTTAATTAAATAGGGGCGGTGAAGATCAAATTCGTGACACCAAGGCTCTGATAGCTTGTGAATAACTAATTCAAGCCAAAAGTTTAAATTGTTAAGTAAAGGTGTTTTTAATAGTTTTATATTTCTCTAACACTAATTAAGAATAGCAGAGCAAGAAGGTTTACCATGTAAGACATTAATTGCAGTTTGGATTTTTGCCATTTTAAAATGGGTTAGAGAGAAAAGTAAAGAATCACAAGAAGTGGTGACAAAACCTACTATTAAATTACATGGGATGCAGCTCAAAGGAAAAATGTTTCTATTTGTAACAAGTGGGTATCCATAATGCATTCTATATGTAGAACACGGTAGCATTGTCATTGTAAAGAACCAATTCAACCCAAAAGCTTAAGTTGTCAAGCGAAGGCCCATTAATGGTTTGTATACTTCTCTAACATGCCCCCTCACACGAGAGCCCACTGGGCATGAAGGGCGGATAATGCACAGGCACACCTACCTGTTCTAAGAAATTCCACAAGAGAAAGTGGGGGCGGTTGAGGATCGAATCCGTGACACCGAGACTTTGATACCAAACTGAGTTTTTATTTCATTGTAAAATAATTGAAAAATAGTAAATAACTCAGAACAATTTTTCATTAGAAATAACCAAGTATATATGGAATTATCATAAATAAATGTAACAAAATACTTAAACCCTAAAGTAGAAGGATGACGACATGGCCCCCAAATATCAGAGTGGACCATAGAAAAGGGAGACAAAGCTCGACGACTTGGGAACATACTACGAGTATGTTTTCCAAACTGACAAGACTCACAATGTAAATTAGAAAGAGACGATAAATATGGAACCATCTTTTGAAGTTTGGCAAGACTTGGATGATCCAAACGAGCATGGATAGTGAGGGGAGAATCAACAGTAGAGCAGGCTAAAGAAGAAGAAAAAAAATTGATAAAGGCCATGAGTCTCATATCATTTGGTAATATCCTTCCCCGAACTCCAATCCAAAAATATGATCAGAAGCCCCATAATCAAGAGGCCAAGGGCCTAGAGATTGTAATTGAGATATCTCATCAAAAGAATTACCATTTAGAGCAATGGAGGCAGTAGTACCATATGCTTGCTTCTCAAACCACCAAGTCACGAATTCATTAAGAAGAGCTGCAAGAGGTTGT